AGATCTCGAGCGCTCCAAAAGCGCTCCATTCAGAGCGCGGATATTCCGCTCGCAGATCTGGCTCGAGTTGGTCATCTTCCGCTCGTAGATCTCTGGCAGCGCCCGCTCCACGGAGCGCATCAAATCCCGCCGAACTTGCTCTGCGGGATTTCACAGATCTCTGCGGAAGTTGACAGAGCGGCCCACATGATTTCCCTGTAAATCGGCAGTGCGCATGCGCGGCGAGGTTGGTGAGGACTCGGCGTGCCGGTGGGGCCGTCGAGTTGGATCTGTGTGGTTGCGTCGGTTGTTTACACGGGATTGTGACGGCTCGAACGCTTCTACCTCGCGTAGATCAGGGATACAAAGCCGGGACTGTGGAGCGTTGTAAATCGTAAGCGCTGACCCCTGTGATCGTGAGAGGAAGAACAGCAGAAAAGCCGGCGGCAGACGCAAGGTTAGGACTGTTCATTCTGCAGCCATGATTCTTTACCTTTTTACACTGCATTATGCCGGCGTTTCCCCGTGAAATAAAGCAGGAAGTGATTAGGCAACGACCGCGCAAGGGATTGTTTGTTACCTCTGTGTTTATTAAAGTCGTACCAGAAATCTGAACTCCGCCGCTGGCAATCGCTGTCCGCGCCCCGCCGCTTCGAGGCGGCCGAAAGGTATGTGACGGTGCCGAACGCGGACGTATTCGTGATTTGTGACATGGGCGCCGTGGTACGTATAATTTCGCCCCGCCTGTGTCGCGTGTTATTTCTGCAGCTAAGCAGTGACAATCGTCACTGGTCGTCGGAAAGATCAGTCGGTTGAGGCGTTCGTGGGCTTGTCAAGTTCGAGCAGCGGCCATTTTGAACGGCGGAGGGGGAAGCCGGGAAGCGGTGGGGAGGGGTGTGTGGGAGGTCGCTCCAAAAATGCAAGTTTATCTTCCCCTCATTGATTCGGAGCGGGTCCCACGGAGCAGAATTTTGCCTCCCTCGCGGACTTGGGAAAGCGGTCCGAATCTACGAGTGGAATTCACCATTAGAGAAAACACGAAGCACGTGAAATCCAATTGGCAACGGGCGCGAAATACAGGACGCGCTTCTCTAGCTATCGTGGAGATGTTTTTGGCGTTTGAAACGTGTAGGGCTTGATGAGATGACGTATATGTGATCCAAAAAGCCCCTACACATATCTTAATATTCTACATAAAAAAGAAAAATTAGTAATGCAGCGCGATTAGCCGGGCATTGTTCACTACTGTTCTTGAGGTGAAAACGAGTTTAGATGCCTATTTCTTCGCTTGGACGTCGCGAAACGTGCGAAATCACCTCAGCGACCAAAGCCTGTAAGATCCATGTATAGTACATAAGTTGGTGACACTTTAGCGTCGCTAAAACGAGTTATACACCCGCTACGGATAACGACCGAGTGCATGTTTGCTTTAGCAGACTTCAAAAAATCTCGAAGAGTGTGTGCTTCGCTTTTTAGCGAGAGCTTCTAAATTTATAATAAATCATTATCGAAGACCAGAAAAATAACTAACTAAATGCCTAACTTGTCGGGTCGGGTCCGGAAATTTATGAAGTCATGGAAATGTTATAGTTTTCTTCGAGCAGAAGTTCCGATGTGGCAAACTACTTTGCCACATGTTCGATGTAGGAGAGGTGAAGTGCAAACAAAAATGTTTCAACTTGGACGGCGCGTTGCCGTACGGGTTCTAAACAGGATCTCTCAACTCATACTTGAGGAGAAGCGTCGGTATCGGCAAGCCTCATAAGCAAAAAACAGGTGTGCGGCACCTGGCAACAGAAGGGTGCGCCCGTGCAATCATAAGGTGACCCCGTACGAAAATGTCATATATCGCCCAGATATATTTTATATACTGCCATATGTGATAATATAAGGAGTCAAATATGGCCACATATGCTGAAGCAAACATGGCCAGATATCGCCATATAAGTGGGCAAATACTGCCAATATGGCCATACAAGTGCGTAAATACGGCCATACATCGCCATATACGCGTGCAAATACGGCCATATATCGCGGTATAAAAGCTCAAATACTGCCATCTACAGCCCGTTCAGGACATATATCGGTAGAAATATATCCCCTGATACAAATATTGGGGCCCGTTTCGTCGTGCAAGCAAAAAGGCATATGTACTCGCGAAGACACTAGTTGTTTTATCTACATTGCATGAGTCTGATGTAATTGGTTTACTATTGATAACATCCTTAAAGTGAAGTTATTCCAAATATTTGGACCACTTAATCAATTGTTCATTTTGAAGTTTGAAAGACAAATTAAATTTTGGTGTATGTTTGACGTGTACAAATATGACGAAGTTCAAAGATCGGAAAGCGAGTTAAACAAATAATGGATTTTATGTCGCAGCTCTTAGACGCCCGTTTTCGTGTCAAGTGGTGTGGGGGTCGCCGTCGGCATCGGTGTAACCGCCCCGCTAAATTTAGCGGGAAATTGAATTGGTGCTTAGGTCACGTGACGTCAATTTTCTCGCTAAATCTAGCAGTGAAACTAATTTTGTTCATGTTTCCAAGCTAAATTTAGCGGGGAAATACGAACCGTTAGCTTACTGAAGATGCTAGAGGCTACTTCGTCGTTGCGAATCCTTTTCCCTTCGAAGAGCTGCGAAGCCGTTGCGCCCGGAGTGCCCTACGCAGCATCTTTCGAAAAACGTTGGCGCAGCATCGCAACGTTCCGTTTGCGAGCGTCGGCGATTGATCTTCATCGTGTGTTGGAAAGTCGAAAGATGTGATGTCCGTGGTGTCTTTTACAAGTAACTCTTTCGTAAAAACTTGATCTCTTTAATATCTATTTATTTGTGGACATCATGCGCAAAAAAATAGTCGAGCGTAGTTTTTCATTTAACATTATAATGTCGTTATACAGCGTAAAACATAGTATCTTCAAACTTCATCGTTTTCGGTCACTTATGGGCTGGACAGCTTTTTTGGAAGTTCGAAAGCTGGATTTCATACAGCTGTCCTGTTCACTCGGTATTGACACCAGGGTAGACGCTCTGCGTGTTTTAGGCCAACCGTGTCTCCGGTAATGGGTCACGTGCCTACAGTCTAGAAGTTGGTGATAAGGCAGAACACGGCACCTGCCTGAAGCCCAAGGCCCATGCATGACATTCACTGCTCTATCAACCTTGGGTACAAGTGACAAGCCCTCTCGTTGTGGTCATTGTTGGGATGCCTCAGAGCATAAGCCTTTTGTGTGTGCACTTGCGTTTTGGCCTTTCCTACTCTCCTGCTCTCTTTCTCCCTAAGCTGAAAGCGTTGTAAAAGGTGCACACTTGCCGAACCAATCAGCCATAGACGTTTTATCGCTTGAGTCCGCTCTCTGTGTGCAGAAAATGGAAGAGGCGTGTTCGCGTGGAATAACGAATGGCGCATTAGCCGTTCGCAATCTCGGAATTCCTGTTTGCGGGCCTACACATAGTTTCGTATGGTGCACCCAACGTGGCTGCTGTGGATTCTGCTTCTGTATTCAATGGTATCTCGCTCGAAAAGTCCTACAAGTATATCGGCAAAAACGATTTCTTCAAAAAGGCCTAAGAATTTTTTGTGATGCGTTTAGTGTTCGGTTCTACAAATGACAGCTTGCACTAAGTCGTGATAAATATTCACGGACACCTTCCTTTTCGATTTTGTGTTTGAGTGGTTGTCATGCCCGGGTCGGACATATATCTCGGATTACACCTATCAAATCCGGTATCGTGAACGTAAGTGCGCTTTCCTACAGGGAACTCTTCCAGATTAGCTTTAGAATTAGGCCATGTCTATCTCCTGGCAGCCGGGAAAATAATTTCCCCGGAATTCTACCAGCAGTCACCCGCCATTGGCCGTCTGAAATCAAGTCAGAACTGCAGGAAATACTGTTTTTTTTATTCTCCCTGCGTTTCGTGATAACACGTTCCACGGCCACCTTCTCGTGGATAAACGTTTCATGGACACACGTTTCGTCGACATTAACGTTTCATCGACATTTGTTACGCGAATGTCGATAATCCTGCTTTCCCTGGGAACCAAGCTGAGCGAAATCAGGAGTGGCATAAAGCGTAAGGCTCGTGCTCAATATCCAATTGGTATTTTTCTCAGGCAGATGAGAAGTCACTTATGGTAAATATTCATAGAAAACAACAATATATATATAAGGTTGCCCTATTTGATTGGGGCATATCTGGCCTTATATGGGAGGCAGTTATACCCCTATTAAGCAGACCCAGATATGGATATATAAAAAATTGGGCATATCTCGCCAGATATGCCTTATATGAACTGATATGCTTTATATGGATACATATGCCCAATTTTTTATATAACCATATTTGTTTCTTTTAATATAAGCCCAGATATGCAATTTTGCAATCCTACACTATGGTGCCCACGAAAACCTTTGTTTCTAGGACAGTGAACACAGATCCAGCAAAACAGCAAACAAATACAAAGTGATGCGCGCCACGCATGCTGCCGTGTCAAGTTCGAAGCTTATTTTTGAACCTTTTAACAATCATTACTATCAAAATCTGCTTGGAAATGCTGGAATTCAGTAGAAAAGAAAATACATATGATAACTGTCCTGGCTCAGCACTGTTATCACCAGAAGAAAAGACGGTGCTTTCACTATTCTGACCTTGATCAACTTCCCCTTCTTATTAAGGAGTAAAAAGCAATTTCCTGAGAGTTCCAAGTAACTGCCGAGAAGTATGGTTGTCTGGGAGCCCTTCACAAAAGGCAATGGTAAGCCCTTCCCTCCTTCACCCCTCGCCCTCTCCCCTTTCCCTCTGTCGCGTAATGAGGTAAGCTTTTACAAATACCGGAACAGGAGAAACAAAAGTCCTTGAAGGCATAAACCTGCTTTAAAATTATTTGGAGTTCACATGTCTCCACTAAAAGACGAATTTTCTGCTTGATCTAGCGAAATAAGATAGTTTTAAGGGAGTCTACCCGACAAGCATCAGACCGGCTCCCACGTCTTTGAGCAGACCAAGAGAAAACACGTACGGCTTCATCGTCGTGCGGTACACTTTGTTCCTTTTTGTCTGTTTCAGAGGCATCCAGGGCTACGGCTGAAATCTGGAAATAACAATTTTAGAACCGTGTAAGAGATTGACGTATAAAAAAATATCACGTATTGCTCACGCTTCCGAAAAGCCTCATATGCATGGCCGTCTTGCTAAGAAGGAATACAACATTGCGACATGAATGTTTAAGCATCTGCATTGTAAGGAGGTGGGCAGTGCCGCTGCTCATGTTACATGCTTGATTCGGTTATTTTACATTCACTATCTATACGCGAGGGACTACCAAAGAATCCAAAGAAAGAAACCAAGCTCATGTCAAGATGAAAAGGCAGGGGTGTCGACCTCAATTCAGGTGGTGTTCGTGGGACCAATCGCGATTGATTTAGTATGGTAAAAACAGCACCTATTTCCAAGCCGTTACCCGTGATGTTCTTGAATTATAAAAAAGTGTTACGAAACGTCTGTTTTCTATAATAAAACCCAAATAGAAATGTACCGTCACCAAGAATAAAGAATAAATAAATAAACAATAAATACCATCGGCACTCACAAAGTGAGTGCCGACGGGATTTATCTAACTGAAGCCAAAACAAAGGCTATCACTGAAGCGCCAGAGCCCACCAGCGTCACGGAGCTAAAGGCGTATCTGGGGATGTTTAATTTTTATTCCAAGTTCCTAACGAACGTTTCACGCGTAGCAGAGCCTCGTTATCGGCTTCTAAAAAAGGGGCAAAAGTGGTCGTGGACGCGGCAGTGTAGCGAAGCTTTTGCTGCTACGAAGCAGTTGCTTGTTAACAGTAAAAAGCTAACTTTTTATGACGTAGGGAAGCCGATTGCATTGATTTTCGATGCGTCATCCTGCGGCTTGGTGCTGTCATTTGTCATAGAACACCACATGGAGAAGAGCGACCAGTGGCGTTTGCGTCGCGAACTCTAACCTCAGCAGAAAAAAACCATGTACAGTGTGAGCGTGAAGTTCTAGATTGGTGTTTGGTCTTAAGAAATTCCACCGTTACTTGTACGGGAGAGAATTCATCCTCTACACAGACCATCAGCCACTCCTCTGAATCCTGGATCAGGACACGTCAGTACCTACCTTGGCCGCTGCCAGAATGCAGAGATGGGCGGTTTTGCTTTCAGCCTACAGGTGCAAGCTTAAGTATCGGAAAGAAAAAGACGTTGAAGTGGCAGATGCTCTGTATAGACTGCCGCGCCCAATAACTACGGCTGAAGAACCTGCTGAGCGCCTTTTTAATTTTTGACAGCCCTCCCCTGAGCGCGGAGGACATTGCAAAAGTGACTAAGCGCGATTTGATTTTGTGTCGCGTGAAAGAGTTTATTTTAAACGGTTGGCCTTCGCAGTTCCCAGACGAACTAAAGCCGTATCACGTACGTCGTGACGAGTTGTCTTTCGAGCAAGGGTGCGTTACCTGGGGCTCACGGTTGTCACACCGGAACAGCTAAGGTCAAGTGTTTTAGCGTTACTGCATGAGGACCACCCTGGGGCAAGTCGGATGAAAACGCTAGCCAGGAGTTTTGTAAGGTGGCCTGGGTTGGACTACGCAGTTGAAACCCACGTACGCGAGTGTCCCACTTGCCAAGCAGTCCAGAACGCTGCCCCACCTGTACCGCTCCGGCCATGGAGCTATCCGACAAAGTGTTGGCAGCGTGTACAGATTGATTCTGCAACGAAACGCTTGTCAGGCCTTTCTACTGCTGGTGGACGCTTTCTCGAAATGTATCAAAGTGTGGCCGATGTCTTCCACAACCACGACCCGAACAATTGATGAACTTCGAAGTTTGTTTGCGGCCTACAAGTTTCCGCAAGAACTGATTAGTGATAACGCCCCACAGTTCCTTTCGGACGAGTTTTCCGATTTTTTAAATGCTAACAAGATTAATCATGTGAAAACATCACCCTATCACGCTGCTTCAAACGGCGCCGCAGAGAGTCTTGTCCAGCCAACGAAAAAGGTGTTGCTGAAGCAGGTACTAGATGAGGAGCTCACGGGAGTGAAACATTCCTTGCTGAAGCGTTTGGATAGTTACTTAATGAGCTATCGAAACACGCTCAACAGTACCACTAGGACTCCAGCCGAACTTTTTCTAAAACGCCAACCGCGAGTAAAACTCTCATTCCTCAAACCAAGGTTTGTTGAAACCATGCGTGATCAGCAGAATCGGGTGAAAGAGCGAAGGGATATTTCGGAAAGTACAGACCGAACTTTTGCCGTGGGTGATCTTGTGCTGATAAAGACCGTGCGAGGTGAGGAAGTTTCTTGGGAAGAAGGTGTTGTTACCCAAGTTGTCAGTGATGTGACCTATTTAGTGAACGTTGGGCAGCACGTGAGGTTCACACACGCCGATTACATCAGGCCTCGCTTCTGATGTCAAGGGGCAAAACTTCCACTGCTGGCTCCTGCTCCGCCCACCGCCGAGCTGCAACCTCCTGTCCTACCAGTCACTGCGCCCTCAGTGCCGGTGCCAACCGATCCAGCGACGGCACCTACCACTAGTTCGCCGGAACGGCCGCTCCCATCGCCTGGCGCTACAAGAACGTCAGCACCTTCACCGGCGCCACCCTCGGAGCAGCCAAGTGTGCGACGAAGTGCGCGTGCAAGTCGTCCACCTGACAGATACCAAACAGCGGACTTTCGAAACTGATCTGCGGGGGAAGGAATGTTATAGCGTGACGTAGTAAGTTACTGCGTGCTGTATCGCGGACCAATCGGCGCGTGCCGTGCAATGCCATTATTTGTATAAAATCGCCGCACTTGAATAAAGCCACGCTTCTTGTCTGGTGGAACGCTGTCCTGACAGGTTAGTACCTTGGCGATAGTTGCTTATCATGCTAGGACAATTAGAAAACACTGTTGGGAACATTGTTCGCAAAGCTTCCACCCTGTCTTCCGTCCTAAGATGCGACAATGGCATGACACTTGTCCAGTCAAGTCCTTGTCCAGTCACTCCAGCCAATTGCGCCCCATGAGCGCGGGCATTTCCTTGCCTCGACTTTTCACTACGATCACGGGCAACTTCATCAATTGGTTTCCGTACGTTACCATTACCTCACATTGCCTTTTAAGTGGTATACACTCTCCAGTGTAAGTTTTCAGGGCTACCTGAGATGGCTCACACTTGACATGGGGAAACGCTTTTTTTAGAACTCTCTCATGGACCATCGTAACACCGGCTCCGGTGTCAATTCGCATGCAAACGTCCTGATCTTCTACGTTGATGTTCACCTCGTAACCCGAGTGCACCAAGTTAACGCAGTGGTAGATATCCATTTAAGAGTCTGCATCTGAGCAGGGACGCCTTCTTTCCATTTGGGCACATTTTCTGTAAATGTCCCAAATTAGAACAGCTATGGCGAACGGCATTCTTGTACCAGCATTCGCTTGCCGAATGTGCCTGCGCGGCGCTCTGACAGCCTCGTCGCCAATGTACTAACTTGTCAGGACAGCGTTCTAACAGACAAGAAGCGTGGCTTTATTGAAGTGCGGTGCTTAAATACAGATATTGGTATCGCACGGCACGCGCCGATTGGTCCGCGATACAGCACGCAGTAACTTACTACGTCACGCTATAACAGCTTTCTCCTTTCCCTTATGTTTTGAGCGTGATACATTCTGTTGATAAACATAGGAAAACAATTTTACATGTCCTCGTATCTTGCATAAGCCATAAAATAAACACATGGACTAAAAAAAAAAAAAAAAAAAAAAACTCCTATCATCCCAGACCGGGTTTCGGACTGCGGAATGACAGTTACTGATTTTTCCTTTAGAGCGTAATTGTCTTAAGCGACCCAGAATATGGCTAACAAAAATCGCCAGCTGTATTTCTTATCGAGGTCCTATCCGCTCTTTCCACGTAAGTTGAAACGTGGTGGCGCCAGTTTGCAAATAGCCCCAGACCACTTCCGCTTTTAAGCTGGACGGCGGGTTTCGTAGTATATCTGAAGTCAAATATACACGCTACCTTCTCGAAATGGCCACTTATAGCCCTGTCAGACTTAATTCACTCTTATAATAAAAACCGTGATGAGTAAAAAAGTTAGGAAATATACATGAACCCGAGGTGTGCCGGGGCTACTCAACGGTTGGCGCCACTGAGTTTGTCGCAAAACAAGAAAGGGCGGATAATGCATGAGATGTAGTACATACAGGGATTGTTTCTACTGCTTGGTCGATATTAAACTCACGTTGCGGGAGTAAAGACTTTATTTTTATCAATTTTCAAGAAACTTGTCTGGTATGTCACGTGATCATGGTGTGGGAAGGCGAAGGAGGAAACTGGAGAGGAAAAGAGGGCACTGTAGGAGGGTGAGGGGGGAATTGGGAGAAGAAAGAGGAAGAGGGAGGGAAAAAAAGGGAAGGGATCGAGGGGCAGGGCAACGTAGGAGACTGGTGAAATAGGTACAGAGCCCGAGGGGAGGGAGAGGGAGGGAGCGGAGGGAGACGTAGGGAACTGAATGTAGGTGGAGAGGGAATCGGTGCGTCGCGTCAAGTATATTCCCTCGCGAAATTTAGCGGAATACCTAAATTGTTGTATTGGTCACCTGTCCTCATTTCACCGACCATGTTTAACGAAAAAGCATAATTGGTTTAAAAGTTACGTGACGTCAGTTACTCCACTTGATGTATATCTCACATGAAGTTAGGTGACGTGGCGTCAATGTCCCGCAATATAGCGCGGAATATGCACGAACGGACGGACGAACGGACACAATTTTGGGATTGTGTTCTCCATTAAAAAGCAGTTCATGTTTAAAAAACTTGTACCAGTTCTCCCAATGTTTATCCGGTGATTAGTGACTCACCGCCATTAGGGAGTTTTCGTACACCGCGGTTACCCTTCCGTTAAGCCCTCCACATCGAAGAAGCCGCCACCTCGCCTGCGCGCCCATGGCTTTGACTGTAGAGCTTCGGGTATCGTAGCGGCTTGCAGAGAGCGGTGCCTGACGACGAAAACGATCCACGAAAACTCCCTATTGCCGACTTTTACCACCGCTGGTCGTCAGCGCTAATAAGGCATGACACTCCGGACAAGGTCGATACCCACTTGCGTCGCCCATCGCGAATACTGCCGGGCCTAATCACTCCTTAGTCGCTGATTCTTTGTTTAGTTCGCGACTACGTAGACGCACTACTAACTTTAACACCACACTAGTTTGCCGAACCCCGTGGATGAAACTAATTAGGTATACACAAAAAAACTACTGCCACAACTTACCTCAAAATATTCCACAAAACTTTCACTCCTCCAGGTAACGGTCACATCGTGAGGCCCAGTGGCTATCGCCGTGACGCTAACAGGGTCCGTGCACGGAACTAAAGATAAAAAAGTAAGATATCCTCTTAGTCGATGCAATCAGTGTTCATTGCACTGAAATTTACGCAGAAAACACTAGAATTTGAGCTAATCTTTTTATATCAGGCTATCATGCGTCAGAATAATACTACAGGCGCCTTTAAGCAACTGTGCGTGGGCGCCGCCCTAACGGACCTTCAGTTTTTGTTTCCTATAATTCTGTTCACGTCACCTCATTAATACCACAGCAGGCCAGGTTATTACAACTTTAGATTGTATTGTGTCCTTCTTCCCAGCACTGGACTTTGTGGAGGCTTGTCAACGCTAGTTTCAGTGGCTGGGCCTCTCCGTAAGACAAGAGAAGGTCAGCAATGGCGGCTGTAATCTGGCAGTAGGCACCACCACAATGCGCAGACGCGACCCGTAAAGCGGCACTAAAACTCTCAGTCATCTCGTTTCTGGTGTCATAAAGGTTAGTTCAAAAATTTGCTTTTGAGCGTGATCGATGCGTTGCGAACGTTTTTAACTGCCCACGACAAGAGAACATATTGGGACACTGGCGCCACCAATACGGTAGTCCTGGAGCACTTCTGACCGCGGGTACACACCCAACGAAAGTGTTCCAGAAATACCCGGTAGATTTCTTCCAGTGCGTTACTTCGCCTAGAGGGAATACGCGAGCGTTGGCAACGCAATCGATCACACTCAGACGCAAATATGAAAACCAGCCCCGACGGTGTCACCTTCCACTAATCGAACATAGCATAGAGAATGCCCTTTCAGTTTTTCGTCGGAGGGCGTATGGTTGAAATAGCGTTACATAACATCCCTTATGCACTTCACCTCACAAACATTAGCACTGCAAGCAAAGGCATGGGCACGAGCACGTGTCTTTCGAAAGTGCCTCGTATCATAGCTATACTGACAAAGCCTGGCAGATCGCGACGAGGGGCGGCGGCCGAAATTTAAAGGCAGAGCGGCAGACTACGGATGAGAGGAGAGCCAGGTGACGGGCACCCCGCTGCGGCGAGACGCCGAAACACACTTCTCCCGAGCGATGGAATATCCGCTCGCGCCCCTCGCGTTCTTCGCGCTAACCCCCCCCCCCCCCCCCCCCCCCCCCTCCTCTTGCCGGGTTTGAAAACCATGTTTCAGGTCCTCGCCGCTACAAAAGCTGTGCGCTGACATCCAGATTCCCCTAGAAATGCTCAGAGCTACCAGATCCTCGCCCTCAAAATGTACGACCGGGCACTCTATGGCTCCGTCATCGAATTGGAAGGCTTTGTGAGTACAGAGGAGGCCATGCTTGTGTATATGCACGAGGTCTCGTACAAGCAAAAGCATTCACCTAAACTAACCTCACGCGCATGTTCATATGTCTTTACTCCAGACATTTGTTAGATGAAGTATAGACCGACACGCGGCGCGGCTGTGTTTACCAACACGGTCGGAAGGCCGCGCATGCGCAGAAGCTACGTAGGCAAAAGCGGCCAGGCTCTCCGTGTTTTCGCCAATGCGTTGTGTGGCGTGCACTCCCTGTTGACGTTGTAGAGACGCTTCCAGCTTTATTTGTGCGTCGTATTTCCTGCCAACGTATGTCGTATGTTATGCCCGACGATTTCAGCTCGCTAGCCAAGCCTGAACGGCGGCGGTATCAAGAAAAACAGTGCATGGGCGGCGTCTTAGACGATCCGTACACCGTGAACAAGGCCTCCTGGAGTTCCGACGTGAAGTTGCTGCCACCGCCGTCGATGACTCACGTCATCGTTTATTTAGTTTTTTCGCGAAGCCAGTTCACGGCCAACACGGAGCAGGCGTACAAGTCTCTCGAGGTCTACGATTACTTCTAGCCGGTTTCCGCACTGCCGGCGGGATCAGCAGACTGTGGATCTGCTCAAATGTATTTATTAATTTATTCAATAGACACAGCGTCTTCAAGTGAAAGTATGATATTGTTCCTACCCTCATTACCACATGGTACGACAAGCGGCAACGCTTTGTCCGTTCTGTTGCCGATCTCGTTCCGCTTGGTAGCACGGGCGTAGCGAGCCACCGACGAGCGCTTGACCGGTGCTTTGTGTGCGAACACGGTGGAAACAAAATCTGGGTGATATCGATCACCACGACGGTTTCCCTGCACATAAGCAAGCTTCAGGATGGAGAGTGAAATGGAAGCCACACTTGCCTCCAAGAAAGTGCTTGTCGCACAAACGGTCGTTCGCTCGAGGAGAACACCATTTCCAATGCACGGATATTACACATTCTGCGCCTTTCAGAGTCCTCTGGGAACTTGTGGAAACTCACTCTGCTACTTTTGTTTTTACCTTTCGTGGCAATTAACGGCTACACGGCTTTGCGGCATGTTCATGAAGTGCTATGACGCCCATTTGAAACATGCGCCCTTCTGCCTACACCACACGGCTCCGGCGCGATCGCAGCTCCACCGTAGCTCCGTGACGTCAAGCCCGCGTGTCGCTGTATAGGTGGGAATGCCCTCAGATGGATGAAAATGTCGCCCCCGCTAAAGAAAAAGGAGGAGCGGACGGACGATGGATCGATAGATGAGGCTAAACCATTTTTTAGTCGGGTGGCGGTTCGCGCTCCAAGCCAAAATGTTTAATTCAACAATTATTAAATCTCCACTTCAAAAAATGAAAGAAAATCCAGTAAGGGTAAGTTTTTTAGCAGTACATCTTTAATTTCGGATATAATGGAGCATATGGTAAAGATTCTTATACCTCTATTAAGGACGATAATTCATTTGCCATTCTCTGCAAACGAAAGTTGCAACCAGTGTGACGGTGGTGCATATATTCACCGCCTCGTGCGCGCACTTTCCGTCCTAGGCAAATCTTTCCTTGACCTATACCCCCGGCTTTATAAGCTGTACTTGCTGATCTCCGCTTTTACCAAAGTTTGAGTTTCTGTCGCTGCCTGTAAAGCCAGAAACCTTTACTAATTCAGTATCGACTTGGTGAACTGCGGTGTGAAAGCCTTTCCTATAAAATATCAAGTGTTCAGGTGTCTGATGTTTCTTCCAAGATGCTCCACACACTGTATCTATGTCTTGATATCTTGCACTGTATGGCATGTAGTTCGTAGCGCCCAATATCAGCGCCGCACATCAGAGCCGCCACTCTTGAAAACACATTAAGGAACATATTTAGTGAAGATGATTTACTTTTTGGTTATGGCTACCACCTGCACGGCTTTATCCTTACCAATAAGCAAGACATGCGCGGTGTTATTTTTTCAAGCGACTTATTATGGAGTGGTCATATTAATTTTATAACTAATAAGGCAAACAGCATGTTAGGATTTTTAGTCGTAATTTCCGTCATTGCCCAAAAGAACTGAAGGAAACTTTATATTTTTTCTTCTGTTCGTTCAGTTCTGGATTATGCGTGCACAGTTTGGGACCGTCAAACTTAAAGTCTATCGGATAAATTAGAACGAGTACAAAGTCGCTGCGCCAGATTTGTCTTGAATAATTATACATTCAAAGCAAGTGTCAAGGCTATGAAAGAACAGTTACACTGACAACTGCTCTCATGGAGACGGGGAAATTTAAGATTAAAACTTAAACTTAGTTATTGTATTTATAACGATAAAACTTGCATCAATAAAGAAAATTACATCCGATGTCCTTTCTGCGTGACAGAAAGAGGTGGCCATCAATGCAAATCTGAAATGATAAACTCTTGTTGTAGATAATTTTTTTATTCGAACTGCATTAGAATAAAACATGCTCAATGAAAATGTTTTTCGCTCTGTATTTTCATCTGAAATGTTTTTTTATAACCTCTCCCTGCAATAATGCTTCCAAGGCGATGCAGCTAATCTCAATAAACAAATAAATAAATATAAAATACAACATTTTTGAAAATCTTTTTTTACCTCACTGAAGATATATTTACAATATCTAAATCATACGTTTCAGATACTTCTTTTTATATTACGTTTTAATTACGCGCTGCGCGCGTAGACCGCGCCTGGCGACTGAGGAGCACATGCACATAGCGAACGTTTATATTAGTGAATCAAAAATCTGATACAAATATAATTCCCCCGACACTTTTCAGAAAACTACAAAATTGTTATTGTTTTTGCATTGACAGTATGAAAATTCCTTATATTGGCAATATGAGTATATTCTGCATTGGCAATGTGCAAAACCAAATTGTTGTGTGTAAGTTTATACAGCCGGAAGTTAGTCTGCCTCAGTGAGCGTCTGGTGTTTCAGCTGTAGATGAAAAATTTAGCCAGTGCGGTACAACCGCGCTAGCCTGGGGTCTTTAACGTGCACCACGCAGTAGTGATACACGACCGCACTCCGGTACGATGCTCATCCGGATCGAAACGGGCAGGGGTGGGGATTGAGCCCAGAATCCCTGGGTTCTGCAGCGCAAGCTCGCTGCACGTGCTTTGAGCTAGTGTGCTCTAGCCCACTCGGCCACCGACCCTTGGCACTGTGATAATCTCTTATATTTTTAAAGGCAATATAAGTCATTTTTTTTCGCCCCTTCGCACTTCCTCTCTTTTAAATTTATTGTTCACGACGAATTGGCTGGTGTATATCAATTCACTCGAGCGAAATGCGACGATTCTTAGATCAACACTGTTTCGAGAATATTTCCTGTGCGTGGCGAAGTTGGCAATATACCTGGCTGGTACGCGGAGGAACGAGGTTCAAACACCGCTTGAACTGCGCTCAGGCCGGATCTTTCTCTTATACTTGCACCCTTCCGGAAAGTTCCAGCCCATTGTTTGCTCTCATAGAGTGTTCTGATTCGGAACATTCTTGAACGTACCACGTGCAGTAACGCGCTGCTTCGAGTCAATCAAACTTCCGTCTTCGACGCATACATGATGCTGGCGTGTTCCTTTTTAAGTTTGTAGGCTCAAGGTCACCCCGTTCAACATTAATTTCTAGTTTTTCATTTGTATCTCTACAGCTATCCGTGGCAATATTCCGGCTTGTGCTCAAGAACAAGAAAGGGGGTATCTATGGCCGAATGTGTGAACGCATCGCAGCTTGGAGCACGTGGAGCGAAGAAACTCGCTGCAGAAACCAGGGATTCGGGGAAAATCGCCACTTCGGTCCGCTTCAATGTGAATAAGCATCGTACCGGAGTGCAGTCACCACTACGTGATGCATGTTAAGTACTCCGGACTAGCACTGTACTGCACCGGCCAAGTTTCTCATCTATAGCGAAGACACCAGTTAGCCATTCGGGCTTAACGTTCCGCTTTCACCGGAACCCCAAATCCCAAAATTGTGTCCGTTCGTCCGTCCGTTCCTCCGTTCTTCCGTCCGTGCGTTTACCGATAAATTTAGCGGGGAAACGGAACTGAAGGAAAGGTCACGTGACCTCAGGTTACGTGGTCTATACACCAATTACGTTTTTACGCCAAAACCGGTGGGAAAATTGATGTCACGTCACCTGACGTCATGTGCCCTATACACCCCAATTCCGTTTCCCCATTAAATTTAGTAAGGAAATCGATGCCCCTTTTTCTAAGCACCAATCCAGTTTCCCCACTCGATTTAGATGTGGAAATTGATATCACGTGACTGATGTTACGTAATGTAAACAACTCAGTTCCCCCACTAAGTTTAGCGGGGAAGTTTACAGCACATGACACACAAATTCCCTTTCCCCTATCTTCCTTACACTTCCCTTCCTCCTCCTAGGCCGTGTCTATTTTGCAGCAGGAAAAAGAAGTTCGCTCGCCATATACAAAGTAAAACGCTATTAAGATGTCGAGAAGGTATTTTGTAAAACATTTTCTTTCTTAACTTAATCTTTTGAGCCATGGTCCGAAATATTAGAGAAATGAATACCTTAAAGGGTCACCCTTATTGTGCCACAAGCGCTTAATTCTACCCGTTGATAAATCTTGAAATATGATTGAAATAAAACCTGCTGGCATCTTCAGTTACTGTGGTGGAAAATTGTACTTAATTAAAGTTTAAAGAAGAAAGAGAATCGTCAGTCATATGTGCAATGCTGTAAGTAGTCCCTGTTCAAAAGAACGATTTGTGCATACGCCTGTTTCTTACTCCATTCAGTGTGCTGTCACATCCCTGCGGGTAGCACCAGAAGACGAGGCGGCGTCCTAAAGAATATACGCACACGTTTAAACATTTTCTTGCACTCTTTCTGCACCGCGATCCTAACCACAGAGCCGTACCCTTCTATCATACAGCGCCGGTGAGCAATTCCCACGCAATTGGGTCCATATGAAGTGACACGTGACCTTAAGTTTTTACACATACGTACATGAGTTAAACTTTATCTTCTTGCAAATGTTGCATTAGGACCTTCCGACATGCAGCAGAACTTGCTGAAACACAATGCTTGGTCAAAATACGTATCTGTCAGGCTGCATGGTCCTAAACCTAACACTTGTAGATCTTTTAGCCTGCGCTGCTTCTCCGAGCAGCTCAGGGTCGTTCGCGACTACTTGCCCATGAAAAAAAAAAAAAAGAAAGAAAAGCTGTGCTAAACCATCAGGAGGGAACTGTCAGTGAAAGTCCCGCGGTGAAACAGACGGATACATTATGCTGTGTTACTTTACCAAGCGTATTATTCATGATAGTATTTGCTAAGTTCAAAAGAGTTTATTGCTTCAACAACTCTTAACAGAAATATCTCTTTGATGCGAAATGTTTGACTAGTTACGAATGAAATATTCTTTCGTTGAGTCTGTTAATGAATGGGACCGCCATACATTTGCCTCGAGAGTGAATTTCCGTAATACATCCTTACCTACGGCGGAGGTGGAAACTTCGGGGCCCCTGAAGCTTTCGTTCTGGTGGCCGAAATTCTCCACTGAAGTATAGAGCCCGTAGTGTCTTCCAGGTACAAGGTCCACGGAGATCTTCAGGTACTGATTTCCCAAGAAACGTGTTTTAGGTATGCCGAAGTAGGCCTGGCCTCTGCGCTCTGGCAGATTATCCTGGGTCTCCCAGCGAACCCAGAACCCGCCTGGTTCGCCATTCCAATGGAGTGGATCTCGAACTTTCATCGAAATTTTCTTGTCCGCTACAGACAACACTTCGGCATAGGCGGGAGCTGTTGGAGCTGTATGGAAAATATGCACAGAATTATTTTCTGTCGCCAAAGCTTCAGTCCATCGATGTTCACAAAGTCGTTTCTGGCTCAGTGATGCTGCGGGCAAGTGTATTTTAAGCTGTGGTTGTATAAGTATGCTTGCGTGCAGCGCGTAACTTTGAATCCCAATGCCATTTCATGACTCATTTAAAAAATAAGCTTGTGGTTAGTGCTTAGTAGCCGATTCGTGAATGTTTGTTAGAACTAAATTATCCCCGAACGCTTTGTTCAACGAACTAAGCAAATATAACTGTCGTTTGTATTCTGTACCAGAATATGTTTTACATTCATATATACAGTGTGCTTCACGGAAGGCGGTGAAATTAGATATAGCGAAAACTACATATTGCACCAAAAAAAGGCGTGTTTTTTTGGTCCTAGGCCAGGGGCCTATTTAGGTAAATTATAAAAGTTCGTGATAATTAAGTTGTTAATGATTTCCACGTAATATATTTTTTTTAATATTGATTTGAAAGACATGGTTTTATTTGGAGACTTGCTGATCATAATCGAAAAACATTAAATAAGAAAATTGGAGTGCAATAGAATGGACGCGCTACATTTGACACCTTACTGAAAAACACAGCAACTTCGACGGGTTTTTAAGTTTCCGTTTTCAATCGGAGCGCTTCTCGGCATGACGGTACCGCGCCCCGTGGAGTGATAGTGCAACCAACATCCGCATCGCTGTTTTCGCGCAACGCAGCAGGGGCAGGTTGCACTATTTCTCCACGGGGTGCGATGCCGTCGGTGCCGAGAAGCGCTCCGATAATCTCTTTTTGAAATTCAGTGCCATCTGGTGGCTAAAATGGCGGTTTAACTTTTGCCACACTAATGGCGGCAATGAACCTTGTAGCCTGTAGTATTTTATCGGGCACTGTCACTTTCGCAAGGCAATGGCAAGTGAGAATGTGCTATTCACTGTACAGGTTTTTCTCGAATTTCTCTTTCAGTGTAGATGGCCACAAAGATGCAACCAGTAAGAACGAAGCACCAACCCAGATAGACGCCTTGATAAAGGTCTACACGTCAAGGGCTTTGATGTCGATTCTGTGCTACTAACAGATTGACTGGTCCAGAGTTATAGAAATGAACACTTGCGCAGCTCTTGCACTCAATTCTTGCTTCGCATCGTGCTGAGGTCTCGAATGTATAGGCCTTAAATCCTTAGCTTAGGAGTATCGTCAAGAAGTTCCTTCATTAATAAACAGAAGGCTGACATTAGTACGGCACATATGGCATTTTTTCAGATGATGATGATAGCGATCAATGTGGCCAGAATGAATTTCGGAAAGGGTTAAATGCAGCGCGTGCCTTCTATTGCATTCCAGTTTTTTTACTGTATTTTGATGATGTTCAGCAAGCTTCCAATAAAACCATGCTCTTAAACTCAATATCAAAAAAATAATTACTCAAGAATAATTAAAAATTCAATTATTTCAAAGCTTAATAAATTTTCGAAATAGGCCCCTGGTCTAGAACGAAAACATCATAAGCCTTTTTTTTCTTGAGCGATGCGTAGCTTTCGCTATATCGAATTCGTCCTCCTTCGTGAAACACCCCGTATATACTATAACAGAGTGTTTCACGTAATAGTGAAAAAATAATCCTACAATTACTGCCTTCCAAGTAAAAGATAATTTTCTCGGGGCCGCACACTCGAGGTGACGGACGTCAGAAAATGCGTGATACTTACTAGTGGGTTCACGAATTAATGGACCATGACTAATTGACTTTTTAATTCGTGCAAATAAACTTATGCTTCCAATTAGAAACTAGCTGAGTGTCATCGAAAACCGCTAAATTAGTCATTTTCAGGAAGACTTTAAGCGCGTGAGATGCGTAGTAGTGCACCAAAGTTACCACTCGTGGAGCATGTACACAAAGCTGGCGGTTGCGGTAAGGCGCCCGCGCGATTCTTTAGCCTCTTATGGGAGCCCCAGTCTTGTACCTGCTCCCCGAGTGGTAACTTAAGCGCACTACTACGCTTCTGACGCGCTCAAAGTCTTCTTGAAAATTGCTAATTTAGTGGTTTTTGATGACGCTCACCAAGATTATATTTGAAAACATATGCGTGTTTTCACTAATTAAAAATTAAATTAGTCATTTTTAAATAATAAAATAGCTGATTAGTAAGTATAGAGTATTTTCTGACTTCCGACAAAGCGAGTAATGCGGTCCCTAGATAATTGTGCTTTTACCTGGAATACGTTAATTTTACGAATTTTGTCACTTACGTGAAACACCCCATACATAGAGAGGGATTTTTTATTTAGGCAAAAAAGGTACAATTGTAAGAAGGGGGCTGGAAAAAAGCGGCCAGTTGCAGCTTGACGCGTTCCAATGCCACTTAAAGTTGGAACAAGCGCTACGAGAATAAAATACTTGTATAGATAAACCTATTTCACACTCACAGGCACAGAAACTTTATACGTGCATAAATTACCTCCGCCATGTAGGTCATATACAACAGCGTGGATTAAAATGTCACCGAGTAATAATATAAAGAAAGAATGACGATAAAACAAATCTTCTAAAATAGACTAAAAGGAAAAGTTAGAATGTAAGAGGAAAAAGAGTATTAAACAAATCTTCAAAAATATTCAATAATTTACAACTTACCTGTGGCTTCGCTCCGGTATATCTTATATGCTGCCTTTCCAACTTTGTAAATTGGTTGAACAGAACCATCAGAAGTGTAGTACGGTCGTAGAACTATTTCGTACAGTGTCCACGGCTTCAGATGCGAGACACGGTATTCATTGACTTGTGTCGTAAAAGTCTTCCTAAAGCTATGATGATCTGAAGTTCCGGAAAGTACGTATCCAGCCAAATGCACGTTTTCGCTGTCCTCGTTGTCGCTCGGCAGTTCGACTTCAGGCTCCGCTATAGCGGAGTCTTCAAATGACCATGAGATCAACACGGTCAAATTGTTTTCGCTTTGCGTCCTCAAAACCAATTCTTTGGGTGGTAGATATCGTCTTGTCACTGAAAACCGCGAGAAAGAGAGCATACAGTGTAACAAATACGGCAATGGTCGGACATTTTTACTGAATTTCAGGAAAATTCAAAATCTAATTTTACCGACGAAGGAAAGGTGGGCAATATGATTTAGTCTTTGTACTATTGCACCACTGAAGGCTGATACAAATATTTAATTTAGAGTGACAGACATTCTTACAACCCATCGACATCTCTTTCGACGAGAGAAAACACTGGTGCCACTTAGCGGGAGTGTCAGGAGAACTTACGATCCGCATATACAGAGTGTTTCTTCAAATCCTTCGTCATTTTACTCATGCAAGAAGCACGGATGATACAGTGAAAAAAGGTTGCTGCCCTATTAGTTTCTGCCAAAGGAACTACATATAAAATTTGATTACGTTTGTTATAATTAGGTTCCAATATCTGGTTTTAAGTCATCGACGTTTTATTCGATAAATTTAGAGGTATAATTTAAACAAAAAAAAAACAACATTCTCAATACCCTCGGAATCAACTAAATCAGCGCACACTTTTACAGAATACAAGACAGGCAAAACAGTTTAAAGCGTTAAAAAAAAAAAAGAAACGCGTCCGGTTTGGGCGCATTTTAGTATTCCGGTTTCCCATCACAACGCACCTACGCCCCACCGGTCCACGTCTCCCATGACCAAAGCGACCAACTAATGTGCGCCGACGCGCATTCTTCGCGTGAAAAAAGTCGCTCCTCGCGTTTACTGCCTATCTCAGCCATTTGTTTTTTGTTTTCTCGCTTTTTTACTAATTTTTAAGAATGAACTAACTTATCAGAGGTCGACATATTGGTGAAACCGAGATTGACAGTTTATTCTTGCATTGTCATTAAAAAAGCAACGCGTTTTTATTTTGCGGGCTCGCGCCACGCTTATACTTGTCTCCTACGAGGAAGGGGAGGCGGTACTCATGCGGTTTGGCCACGGGTATCAAGAGTCACGACCTCTGGCGCAAAGAAGCGCTTCGATAGAAAGCCGAAACCCAGACGCGCGTCAAATTGAGTACTGGATTTCACGCGAACCGTTGTCACGACCGAGTGTGACGAAGAAGCATTACACGCAGCGCAGGCCAAAGCAACATAAAACATGCATTGCACACATCAATCAATGCATAAGTGTCCAAGACATGTAGAAAGCATGTTTAGTCATCATGACATATAGATCACCATAAATGGGCACAATTAATCGCAACGAGCTTGATTTTCCAAAGGGATCACCGGGAGTCGAACCCCTGATCATGCGAATAGCTGTCCAACTTCTTTGCTCGGTGCCACAAGGATTTTTTTTTTTTTTTTATAGACGCAACAAGGATAATGTGAAAGAGGGAACAGGCAGCTGGACTAATACCCGTGCGCTCTCAACTCCGATTCAGTCAATGGTAACTGACTCGACTCAATCGCTATCGGCCAAAGTTACAAAGCGGCTCCAACTGTCATTGAGCTGCTAATGACAGTTAAGTTCAACTGAGCTCCCTTACCTCAGTTGAACTGAACGGACTTCCCCAACGGAGGTAAAATGGTGCCTCTCCGCGGGGCCGCTGCCGCCGACCATCGTTTGCAAGGCACTTACTTTTTCGGAAGGCAGGGGGAAGCGTCTAGAAAGAGTTGTAGAACCAAAATATACGGAAGGAATAGGTTTAGGCGTCCCAGCTGCCGCTAAAACGATCCCGGCTAGCCGGCAAACCACCAAACGAGCGAAGATGGTGGACGGGCCAGCTATAAATAAAAAAATAGTAATGGGTGTACCCATCGTAGCGGGCGGTAGCTTGCGCCACCTAGCCTAAAATATGCGCAACCTAGCCTTGAATCTGCTTTGGTACTCGTGTAAACGCCGCAAAAAAGCAACAGCTTCTTGAACGTATTGTAAAATATATTTCTAATAAATAAAAGGTGTGTCTCCAAGTAAATTACTTTAACAATTAGACTGATCACGTGGCACCAGAACTAATTTTGTTTTGGCTTCAACTGGGTTCTAGAGAGCCGTGCAGCACCATCTCAGTTCAGCTCAATCACAGTTGGGGCCGATAACTGTGATTTAACTCAACGACAGTTTAAAGTGCCCGTGTAACTAGGGTATTAGTATGACTTGCTATCGAAGGTCGCCTGCGGTAGCACTGCACCCTGCGCAGCAAGTGTTACTTTGCTCAGCATACTTAAATCGCAAGCGACAATTGGCGGCAGGTCGTACTCAGTCCAGTATACTTTGCCAACGGGCAACCATCGTTAGTGAGTCATACGTGTCTAGCCTGCTTAATCCTCAGACAAGCGTACGCGGCGAATCATACTTAGTCCAGCACAATCCGGAGGTGGCTGTCGCTGGCGAGTCTTACTTAATCCAGCATACTAAAACCGCAGTCAGCCCTCGGCGCGCGGGGCTGGCTCTCGAATGACGAAGCGTAGCTTAATTTCCTCGTGAACTCACGACATCATAGGGCGGATTATAACGGACCAAGGGATATCGCAGCGAGTGTTTGACGTCACACCTTCGAACAAAATTCTATGGGTAGCGCAAAGGGTGCGATAAACCTCTTCGTTTGTGATTACTTCAATTACTACCCAAGGGGTTTCTTGCACTCTTACAGCACTAAGATTTCCATGCCTTCACGCATCCATAAAAGCAGAACTCACGAAGGCCGCCTCATTAAAACATCCTCCTGACACACTTTACTCCTGCAAAAAATTGAAAATTGTGTGGATCGTTAAGATAAACCCGGAGAACGCAAGAGTGTGTCATTGTGCGCAGTGCATCCGAAATTAGACAACGCTCTCCGTAACCAAACAGAGGAAATCATAATGCACCCATAATGCCCGTACGAAACATTATGTGCTCCCCGATTTTGCCAGAATGATAGAAAACTTTAATTGTTTAGGAACACCCATAAACGCTGGAGTGCTTTATATTTCTGTAAAGTGCGCCAATTAAGTGGTTTTCTAATATGATCAGAAAGCAAATTTTTAGTTACTCAAACGTTATTGGACACACAACATTTTACCGCGGCAGAACTTTTTGAAACCTTGATTCCTATGCGTTCTTTGGCCTACCGGTGGATCCCCTGTCATTTCCCTCGGGTGCGCCGACAGATAGCACGAGCGGTCTTGCGGTTTATGCAGTGCCATACTCTTTGAAACTTGCCGAGCCATCTTAGGGCTACTTCGCGTGACACATCGGTGGCCCACCTCGCACCGTTCACTAAAAACAAATGTCGACGAACGCTTTGATATTTTGCTTTGAAATATTGAAGCATTCATTTATTTTCTATGTAGAAATCATGAATCTCGGTACTCCGAACGCCTGAATACCGGTTATGTTCCACAGTGGTATATTTCATGACACATTTTACTGAAAGCTCCCTGAAAATACTTCGGAGAATGAATAAAACTAAAAGTAGTTCAAATTGAGAGGTTTTCGCCAACAATACTTTCCGTATCATCATATATAGAATGGCTGCGAGAGAGTTTTTATGTTCAAGGCCGTCTACTTAGTGCTCAGTGTTAAATCCGCCGAAACAATAGACGCCTCCCTTGGATATTCTTCACAGAATATGACGACTTTCTTCGCCATCACACTAGCCTTGTTTTAGATTGTGCTTTTCCTGAGCGATGCATAGTAATCAATGCACCGTCTTTGGATCTTTGGTGCAGTTTCATCAGCTTTCTCGAGCCCGTGGGCACGCATTTTACTGTATGTCATCTCGGAATAGCATTGTGGTGCGCCGAAAAGGGAACGTGCCACGTCCTTTCAAAATTAAAACGAATGGGAACCTCTTTGAGAAATTATGATTGTAATAGGGTTTTTCAATTTATGAGAGAAACACTGTCTGGGCGCTTTGCTATAACAATAAGGTGAATCGCTCCGGACAGCCGCGACCCACGTCCCACTGGACATCATTTGTTCTTTGGGCTGTGTCGTGGGTCACCGGTCGGTCGCGGCAAGTCTGCCCAGCACAGAGGTTAGTCATGTCTAATACAATCGATTTCAGAATGTGATTTTCTCCGACTTTCATATTTTTTAAACATATGGAGCCCGGACTACACATAAGTACTGAATATTTGACTCCGCGAAGCTGGCACATACGGCATGACCCACCGCTGACCCCCGTCGCGGTGAGCCGCTCAAGCGTACTGAACGTTACTAATTTTTTTTCTAAAAATAACTGCAATTTCGCCATACCTGTGTATCGCAGAACATTCTTTTACCACCTGTGCTTGTAATATTTGGAGAAAAAGTTATAAGCGAACATTTTTCGAAGGTAGTGAGTTGAATTGATCTCGCAAATAGGGTAGAAACCATGTGTCTAGTTATACCTAGATCAGGAAGGTTCTAGGACTACTTGGTAGATGGTGCCAATATGTTCTTTATAGTCATTGAGTTTATAAGCAGTCGTAACGCGATCGATTTCTCTTAAACGCAAACGTTGTTGCAATTTTCCAAGTTGTTTTGCCCATTGCTTTGTGTAAGCTTAGGGATGTTGGTTCACGCCGAGCGAAACTAGACCACCGGCACTTTTCGGCTGAGCTTTGCTGGTGAACGTTGGCAACTTTATGGTTGAGATTCCGCTGAACTTAAGCGTACGCGTCGGGAAGGTGGTCACCAAAAACTTAAGACAAGCTGTATCGCGATGCTCTTCTATTCGGGGCGCTTATAAAACGTTTCGTCTATTGGGCCGAAGCATAACCCGTAAATGAGGTCTTGCAATGACTGTTCATGTCATTACAAGTTCTTGTGTCATTGTTCCTGCTCTATTGCTGTTTCATAAGGCTTCCAAATTGTACCCTTTTGCATTTCTGCCTTTGGTATAAATATTTTCTTCGAACAGCCTTATTTATTTACATAATAAGTGCTAGTACCAGAGGACATGTTTCATGGCGAAAACCAAGAATTAAGTGAAAACGCAAAAACGAAAACCAGGACACAGCCAACAATAAAGGTAAAAACGCATGCCCTAACACATTAAACATGCAGACATTTTAAGTTCAAGGGCTAAACATGAAATCGGAAATTGGATTTTAAAAACCGAAATGCATGAGGCTAAAAATTATTATTTAAAAATATTTCAAAGGAATGCTTATAAAACAATGAAATTAAAAAATAGGGTTACTCATTGATTTATATGTTAGCAGAAAGGGTGGAACCGGGTCTTTGAAGGTCAAAAGGACGTTCAATGTAAGGTTGTGTTTGTTCACTTACCACACATTTCAGAATCTTCATCGTCGGCACAGAAAGACTGCGTTGTGTCGTTGGGACAGTGTCGTTTTCCATCGCACAAGAAGATTTTTGAGAATTTGACATTTCCACCGCACTTAAAAGGCACATGGTCGTTGTACCATGTCGCATCTGAAAAATTTAAACAATGGTGTCATTGTTAGGTGTCCAATTCGCTCTCAATTCATGATTAGTCAACCTAAAAAGTGCATCAATTTAGAGAAAAATGTGATGATTAAGAATACAAACGATGTTTGTTCAACCGAATAATAATATTAATAATAAGAAAACTAATAATTAGTGACGAATCATTTGCAACATGACATAGTTTTGTCGTTGCTAACAAGGGCCCTTGGGAGTGAGCCAGAGTTGCAAAAACGAAACGTTAGTTAAAATAAATGATCAAATTAAATATCAAATCCTGAAAAAAGGTACAAGGTATGTTCGCTTGCGTTCTCGCTAACAAAAACAAAAAAATCACCATTAAAAAATAAAACAAACACAATTTATTCAAAATATTCTTCTGTCGGAAATACATTCATTTGCAGTGTAAATGATCTAGTATTTTTTGCAAAAATTAGTGGTCGGAATTGGCACACAAGAAAGTCTGTTACTCGAAGTGGGGTCAAACAAAATAAAAGCTACGGAAGAACGAGAATATAAACAAATATGTATTTTGCTGGTTGATATAGGCATGTCGTAAGGATTTCATGGTTTATTTTTAGAAGATATGAGATTAGAAGGACTATTAAACAAATAATCAAGTACCCGCACTTCTTAAAATTAACGCATGCGGGTTTGTAAAATACAGCATAAAGTGTGCTGGAACGAGGTAGTTCCAAACCTTCCACGGTTGCCGCGATGGCGGTCAACAACTTTAAAAGACACTTTTTTATTTGTAATTGTGGAACACTCCCAATAAAAAAAAAATCAAATATGGGTACTGAGAGCATTGAAAATTACGCAAATTACTTAAGCGTTTCTGAGACGTTCTTTTCTTTAAGGCAGGTGGTGTACATACTGTTACGCCTGCCTGCCAGAAATCTTGAGCATTTGCCAAAAACAGGTAGGAGATTAGGCGCAAACTGCTGCAGGCTGATGAGCAAGGAGTGACCCGAGCAGACTGTCATGGTTCTGCGGATCCATGCCGTAATGGGAAGTAGAACGCAAAATACAGCTGGAGGGTAGAAGAAAAAGAAGAGAGGCCAGAGAAACCTGGGGTTTGGTCGGAGGAAGAGCTCCGAAAGGAGGTGTATGGCTATGGTTCAGGACTTGCCCGACACTTGCTACGCCCAAGCTGCAACGTCAACTCTTTACTTCCCAAGCCTGCAGGATTCCAGTTGGCTACGGTGAGCTGCAACTCTTCGCGGTTGGTCCACGCAACGAACATTCAGGAGCATTCGGTGGGAGGGACTGAGGGACGCCTCTTTGTCAGTCGTTAAACTCCATAGTTAAACATATTTTTTTCTATTGAATTTTATTGTAATTCGCCTCTTCACCTTTCATTTGTTCATATTTGTACTTTGTAAATATAATGCAGCAATTTCTTTGACGCTTGACGTTCTCTTCATTCCGCTTGCGATCACTCTCGGGCGAACCGTGACACAGACTAATGTATTGGTATTACAAAACCAACGGAAAGCACCCCTTAACTTAAAAAAAAGAATGTGTGAGGCGAAAATTTTATAGTAGCTAAAAATGTTCGAAGATACCTCACAGTGCCTGAATTTGGACCTCTACTACGCAGGGACAATGTGCAATATAATATCTGTCGCTAAAAAGGAATACGTCAAAAAACTGCTTTTAGCTAAATGTGAAGGAAGATTAGAATTTCTTTAGAAACATTTAGGTTAATTAGCGTGCGAGAAAGCTAGTTCATAATCTTATGAGGGAGGCGAGGCGGTAGTTGCGCGCTTTGGCCACATAACTTGCAGGACAGTTAACGCAAAAATCCGCTTGAAGAAACTGGTAACCTAGAAAAGTGTCAAAATTTTGTTCTTTTCAGAACTCCTTAAAATGACGCATATGCCTTGTATTACTGTAAAGTGCGCTGATTCAGTTATTTCCACGATGTTTAAAACGTTTCTAATTCAAATCAGACATTTAAATCTATCAATTAAATATTTCATTACTCAAAGGTAATTAACAACTTAACTATACTGAGCGCTATCAATGCTCTCAAAAAAGTTCCTTTGGCAGAAACCAATAGGGCATTAATCATTGTTCTGTGCGATGCATACTTTTTGGTGGTGCGATTTGGCCCACGTTTTGAGCAACACAAGCTTGTGAGTACACAGAAAAAATGCGATCCCTCTGTTTTTTTTTTCAGAGCACTTGAATAGTATTTTGACGTTAATCTACAGAGGAAACCAGAGCGAATGACTCAACTTAAACTATGTTTTCTATTTAAAAAAGGCCAAAACGTCTATGCGAAAGAGAGCATGAAACGTTGTCCTCGGTTTCACATTTCAGGTTTCAACGTTACTGTTTTGAATTTGAGTAATCTCATAGGAGTCGTCGAAAAATAGAGTGCATACCTCAGTATATGGACCGTACTACATAATATGTAGCACACAACAAAAGTAGGGATGAGAAAATTACTTTCCGTCGAGGAATCAAATTACGTCACCAATTACTTCGCTGAAAAATTTAGCAATGGAATTAAGTTATATTAAAAAAATTGCCAACTAAAAGTAATGACATTATATACAGATTAGTGAAGTCTAAAAGGAATTACCGTGCATTAAGCTTAGACTTAAAAATTAAAGAAAGAATTTCGAAATTAATTTTTAATTCTTTCAGGCAGAAATTTGTAAACCAGTTTTCTTCATAGTTTACATAGACACCAACACTCAGATATTCCTCTTACACCGCAACAGCCACACACACACACACTAAAAAATCTGTCCGTGAAAAAAACTCTTAGGTCCTTAAGCTGAGCAAGTTGATTCATTGCCTGTGAATGGGGCCAGTTGAATATTTCATGTTGAGCTGGCCCCATTCACAAGCAAAGAACTCTTAGGGGTTCGTCGGCTTCTCCGTATTTTGGACCATAAAAGGTTATTTTAAGCATCTCCTTCAAAGGGTCTTCCTGGAAAACCTATAAGAAGTTCTTTTAAGCCCTTTTTTATCCAAAAGAGTTCTTCGCCGCTCAGATGCCTTTCTGATGCGCTAGGCGGTAATAGTGCTTGAGGCGAAACCGTTATTCACGAGCAAAAATAGGTTTTGGGGCGTCGAAGAGTCTTTCAAGAACGGATTTTTTGTACAGTGCATGCGCTTCGAAGTGAGCATGTAAAACGTCTTTACTTTTGAAATACGCGTCCTTCGCCGTTCTGGACAGTCGCTTTTCTGGCGCAGGCGGCGGAAGTGTTAGCCATGATGAACGGCATTAAGATACTAGTCGCATGAAGACCATTTCTTTTCGTAATAATGCTAGCCTTGACCATATAATGGAAAATTAACATTCACCATAATATTGCTAATGCTAATCGGTTGCTTCAATATTAATATTAGACATGCTAGCCTCGGGGTCACAAAATTACGTTTATTTAGGGCACTACCACATACAAAACCGGAGTGCGCTGCAGCTTTCTGTGTGGTCACACAACCCTCGTGTCAAATCTTGCGGCAAACTTCTACGTAGTTCAAACATTGTACTCAACTTACTGTAGTTTAACTAATTTTCTGAATAGTTCAGTGATTTTCAATTACATTTTTATTTTGGTGATTAGTAGTTTACTTTAATTACTTTTCCCGAGTAACTTCTACTCAAATTACAAAGTATTTTCGAATTTTAGTGGTAGGTTTGTCTATCAGCCAACATTCCTGCTCAAGACAGATAAGGCGTTCGAGGATCAGCTGATGTTGGCAAAAAAAGGAGAAGCGTGTGGCGGGGGAAAGGGGGGGGGGGGGGTTTGGAGGATCCGAAACTCTCTAAAATTTTCATAAGCCCCCACTGCAACGATTCTGCTAAATGGCGCGGGGACCGGACATACACGTCTCAAATGAAGCCCAGTAATTGCGGGATTTGCGCCGAAGAGTGGCGTTTCTTTGTGTCCCGAGACTCAAGGAGATTTGACGCATTTGAAGGGAGGGCTTGTCCCAGCATCTGCCCACCGTTCGAACTCTCGCCCGCTACTGGAGGTGTACGCACTGCATCCTCACTCAAAGGAGGCAGCAAAATGCAGCACCCTCTCAGAAGCTCACCTATTGTTCCCGTAGTTTGTGCTGTACTTGAAGAATCGCGTGCTAAAAGACAACGCAAGGGTGACCCCTTTGCGTTGCCTTTCCTCCCAGAACTCAGATTATCCAGGTCTTCCATGATTCGAATATCGTTCGAGAAACCTCAGTAATTCTCCCACGTTTTTACATAAATAAATAAGATCAAGAAGTGTTGGGAAGTACTTTAATTACATGGTACTTAAAGTAGTGCTTCAAGTATGTTTCGAAAACTTGTACTTTGCTACAAGTAGATTCTCTGAGCATGTACTTACTCTTTACTAAATACTTTTTGTACTTTCTAAGGAAAGTACAACTCCCGGCTTTAAAGTACATTCCCCGATTTTGAAAAAAAGGGCATATCGTCGTGTGAAAACGCGCTATAGTCTTTCTAGACGTCATATGGTTATTTTTCCGAGTGAAATGATGGCAGGTATAATACCAATACAAATAAGTGCTTTATATGTTTACTGTGTTCAAAATTTCATCAGCTAGAGTAAAATAACTAATATGTGGCGCTTTGACTTTAACCAATAGTTGGCCTCATTTCCGAAAAAAAAAGAACTTATGCAGTTTCGATTGCCCATAAAGCCATGAACCAGTTAAAAAAACTGTATAAAGGATGAAATAGCACAATGAAAAATCGTGTTAGAAATACTTGTACATACTTTACTTTGAAACTATAATTTTTTAAAGTACTTTACTTTACGCAAATTGCGCCCGGTTACTTACTACTTTACTTGAAGTACATAACCTTTCATTTACTTTGTACTTTACTTGAAATCCTTTTTAGATATATTTTAAGCAAAACTGTAAGCAAGCAAACACTGTCTGCAAAATGAAGCTCAGGCCGCGCTAAACCTCAATGTAGGAAATATTGTCACGGGTGGTGAACAATAAACAAGAAATGAACA